TTTACAAGGCGAAAGAGGTAGAGTTTCTTGAGAGAGGCGACTCACTGAAGAAACAAATGCAGATTCTTGTAGAGCTCAAAACCTTACTCCAGGATGAACGTGCTAAACGGTCCTCTGCTCAAGATTCAAAAGAGGACGTTTCAATCTCAGGCACCATTTCTTGCGGTATATCGACTGACTCCATCTTGATTATATGCATCACAGTACATACATGCAAGACAAACTTGGAGATAAATTAGTCAATCACAATTTTGTATATCATTTCCTGGATTAAGTAGTATTGAGACATGCAAATGCTAAAAGCATTCATGATTCAACTGCTGCATAGTCCATGCTTTTCCGTTTTATGCTATGGGACTTATGAAATTCGTGTTATGCTTCCAAGATTTACATTGTCCAACTAAAATTTTGATCATATTTATTGGCCACAGATGAAGAATCTACCACAGACAAGGCAGAGCAAGAGAAGGGGCAGGACAATCCAACAGATGAGTCTGATAAAAGCGATGTCCAATACGAAGACTGTTCAAAACCAGATGAATTGTCCAAATCTATAAGTTCAAAGAGAGTAGATGGCAAATTCAGGAGTCTTTCGACTCGTGTTATCAACTGCCAGGGGAAAAATCTAAGAATTCACATTCCACTGACAAATCCAACACGTACATTCTCAGCAATAACATATCTACTTTGGGATGATTTGGTCAATCAATCATCCAAGAAATATGGTGTAGAAGGAAGTAGACTGCACATAAACAAAACAAAGCTACATCATGCTGAGAAAATGATCAGAGGAGCTTTCATTGAGCTCTACAGAGGATTGGGGTACCTCCAAACTTACAGGTAATTATTTTACTCAATTACATTGAATTTACCACTTATAGTTTATGATCTAATTTGAAAGAAGTATCTCAACTCATTTTTAACGTAATTCCATTGTACTTTTTTCAGGAACTTAAACTTGCTTGCTTTTGTGAAAATTTTGAAAAAATTTGACAAAGTAAGTATTGGGGTTAGCCCTTATAGTCATATGCACTTGTATCTTTTTCTTTCTTTTACCTTTTTTGGTCATTGACAGTAACTTTATCAAACTTTTTTATAGGTGACTAACCAACAAGTTCTTCCCATTTATCTAAGAGTGGTCGAGAGTTCGTACTTCAACAGCTCAGACAAGGTAAATGCAAAGCCAAAATGCAGCACTTTCTAGTAAAATATCTAGTGAAAATGAAATTATTGCTGCATGATGGAGCAGGCTAGCAACATGTCTGTGATAGGAAGATGATTGGTTGTGGGGTATCAGCCATCCCATTCCAGATTATTCTTAGACAGTGTTAAGTGGTCATCTGCTAGTAAAGTGCATTTCCACACAAGCAATGGTCTAAGATTTTTTTCTATCTAGCTAAGATATGCTTGTCTCCACTACATTTTCTGAAACAGAGAAAATGTCTAATTAGTTTCTGTGATTAACAGGTTTTGAAGTTAGCAGATGAAGTCGAAGAAATATTTGTTAAACACTTTGCTGAAGATGACAGAAGAAAGGCCATGAAATACCTCAAACCTACACAGCGTAAAGAATCACATTCTGTGACGTTCTTCATCGGTAAGTTTCCTCCCTTTTAACTCGATCATAAAAGAAATTAAAGCAGTATTACAAAAGAGATAAATTTTCAAGATAACATATATAATTTGTTTCCTTTATTGAATCACTTGTCTTTTGTTTTACATGTCTGATTAGCTAGTGTTCATTGGGGTCCCATTTGATACAAAAGAAACAAATGCACAAAAGTTGCAACAAAATAAATGGCCTCTAGGCAACTTGACCTTGAATTAGCGACTAAATATCGAACAAAAAGTTCTACCAGGGTCCACATTTTGGAGATGGAGAGAAAGAAAAGGTGCATATAGGTCACCATCAACTTATTGACCACAACTTTTGAACCTCAATAGGACCCTAGTTTTCCCAGGGTAATGCCCTGCCATATATTCTGAGACTTTGATGATGACATGTACTACTAATGTTGAGCATTTACCTGACATGTCCTAGGAAATAACAGACTGAGGCTCCAATTAATTGCTTTTTACTAGGAGTGTGATCTATCACACACTTCCAACCTATGGTCGTTTGTAGATTAGTAACCATATGAAGCCACTCTCTTTCATCAGGCTGTTTAAGGAGGTTTTGTGCATCGAACAATAAACTAGTCTGGTTATTGTGAAATTTTAGATAAATTCTCAATATGGATAAAAATCATTTCATTAAATCATCCATATCTCCTAGAAAAGAACTTAAGACCATCATTCTAGTGCTGAACACCAGTGTAATGGATTATAACATGTATGACACCAAATAGTGGAGGAGATTCCAACTAATCTACTCATTGTTTTGGATGATCAGGATTGTTCAGTGGGTGTTTCCTTGCGCTATTGATTGGATATGTCATCATGGCTCATGTCACGGGAACGTACAGACCCAAATCAAAGACAAACATTTACATGGAAACCGTCTATCCGGTGCTTAGGCAAGTAAATACTGATCCAAATTTTATAACTAATTAGTCTAAATATGCTTCCAAGATCCACTGATTAACATGAAAACTGTTCACATCCTTGCAGCATGTTCAGCCTCCTGTTTCTGCACTTCTTCCTGTATGGATGTAACATTTTCATGTGGAGAAAGACCCGTATTAATTACAGCTTCATCTTTGAGCTGTCGCCAACAAGAGAACTCAAATATAGAGATGTGTTTTTGATCTGTACCACGTCAATGACTGTTGTAGTAGGGGTCTTGTTTGTACATCTGTTGCTCATAGCAAAGGGTTATAATGCTCAAATTCAAGCAATCCCAGGCCTTCTACTATTGGTAAACTTTTTAAAAATAAAAAAAATATACCGTGATAATTTAAACAGTACTTCTACATTTGTAATTTCTCAAATCAGGCAGTTCACAACGATGCTTTTCCCGTAGGTTTTTCTATTAGTGCTGGTGTGTCCTCTCAACATTATCTACAAATCAAGCCGCTACCGCTTCCTTTGTGTAATAAGAAACATCATTTTGTCCCCTCTGTACAAGGTGGTCATGCTGGATTTTTTCATGGCTGATCAACTTTGTAGCCAGGTTAGATCAGCTAATTGTGTCATATGCAGCGACTTTTCTCATTAATTTACTCGAAAATTGATTTTGCCACACTTAAAAGATCCTATGTACTATGATCATCTCTGCTCTATCAACTGAATCTGTTATTTTCTAAACCAATCAGGTACCGATGCTCAGAAATCTTGAGTATGTAGCTTGCTACTACATATCAGGAAGCTACAAAACTCAGGACTATGGACTTTGCATGAGGAACAAAAACTATAGAGACTTAGCCTATGCAGTTTCATTCCTTCCTTATTACTGGAGAGCTATGCAGGTTAGAACATAAATACAGAGGGCTTTTTTGAAGTTTTCTATTCTGTAATCTTTCAAGAATAGATTAAAACCTCATTATTAACTTATGATGATTCTACTTGGCAGTGTGCTCGAAGATGGTTTGATGAAGGACACACAAGCCATCTTGTCAATCTTGGAAAATATGTCTCAGCAATGTTGGCTGCAGGAGCCAAAGTAGCCTATGAGAAAGAAAGGAGCAGTGGCTGGCTTTGCCTGCTTGTAGTCATATCTAGTGCTGCAACGGTGTATCAGTTGTATTGGGACTTTGTGAAGGACTGGGGTTTGCTTCAGCCGCATTCCAAGAATCCATGGCTAAGAGATGAACTAATGCTGCGGAGAAAGTTCATTTACTACTTCTCCATGGTATCGTTCTACTCCTCCCCTTCGAGATTCGTCCCTCAATAAGAGAATAAATGAAAAAACTAGATAATATATCACACAACTCGTAGGAAGACACCTGGTATAAGAAGACAAAGATCCACATATACAGATAAATTGATCATACAATCATTTTAGCAATGGAATAGCAAATTTCTACAGTTGTTTTCTATTGAACAAATATCACTCTTCTTTAAGATTTTGAATCGTTGTTATTGCTAATATTTCGTAGGGATTGAATCTTGTTCTCCGATTAGCTTGGTTGCAAACAGTTTTCCACTACAATTTTGGAAATGTAGACTACAGAGTGACGGGGCTACTTTTGGCTGCCCTGGAAGTTGTTAGAAGAGGTCATTGGAATTTTTATAGGTACGTATTCAATTTTACATATATTTGGTCATTTGCATTCATGTTCATCCACTGGGTGATCAGTTTACGTTATATTATCATGAACCTAATGATACCTGTATTCCCTGCTGCTTTACTTGAGATAAGAATTTCCTTTCTTTTTCGTGGCACAGGTTGGAGAATGAGCATCTAAATAATGCAGGCAAATTTAGAGCTGTCAAAACAATACCACTTCCATTTCATGAAGTAGATGATCAAGACTGATTGCCCCATTGGATGGACTACTTGGAAGCCAGAATCAAAGAATTTAATCCAACCTGGCCAAATTGCTGGGAGGGGAATTTATTACTTCCAGTTGATAAGTTGATGTTTCAACATGTCAACTACTCTTTTTTCTTTTTTCTTTTTTTTTTTCTCTTCGCTTTTTGGCCGGGAAATTTATACCTGTACACAAAATTTTCCCCATCTCAATAAAATCAATAACACCTAGAGTTTAGTTTTGTCTTATGAAAACCTCCATTGTATATTGCACTTGAATTGCACGTGTGTCCGGAGCTATTTGATTGTAATGTAGCTAATGCTTGAAGCTACCAGATGGGAAGGCCTTTTCTACCTGTTGCTTTACTTGAGATAATTTTTTTTTTTTTTTTTGTACAAAATCCTTAATTTAGATTTAACCTTGTCCGATGGATAATGTAAGAATTTTGATACATATGCATGTGCAAATGCATGCCAAAAAAGAAAAAGAAAAAGAAAAAGAGTTTAATAATATAGTTTAAGTTTTATATATCTTAACTTGCGAGGTCAAAAACATTTATCTGAAAAATTAATGCCCAATACAGAAAAAGGGTGAAATTTGCATTCTTAAACCATCATTGATTTATAATTTACACCCTCAAAGCATTAATTATAGTACATTGGTACCTAAATGACAGATGTCGAATCTGTTCAATAATAAAATCTACTCGAGAAAAATATAAATTTGTGTATAACAATGAGCAAGATCATTTGCACAAGAACTGGGGGAAATTTGTTTCTTTTAGATCAAGATTTAATGGGGGATTTTGAATAATTAAAATAAACAATTAATTCATACTAAAATAACTAAATCAAAGTACAAAGTGAGCAAACCAGCTGCTGAAACTTTAGTTTACTGCAACTTTGGCAGTATCCATTCTGCTGGTGGCAAGTATGACAGTGATTGAGGAAGCTCATAATGTTTCCCTATTTGTCCACTCTCTAAATGAAAGATTCCCATGTCAGTAGCTTCATAAGGAGCATCAGGATCCCTCTCTGTGCAGTCATCTGTGAAGTATATACAATTTGACTGGCAGTTGCGGAAACCAAATGCTGGGATGCAAATAGAATGGTTGTCCCCCACAAATAATGCAATATTAGGCAAACTCTTGATTTCAACCCATTCCGGTTCCTCCTCCTCATCACTTGAATGCTTCCTTGTCATTCTATAAACCTTGAAACCCACCGTCACCTTATAGTTGATATCATCAATTATCGCAAGGTACCGTCTTCGGACCAATAACAGACCTCCGTCCAAAGATTCAACCAGATAAGACACATGAGAGTATTCAGTAGGCTGTGATATCAAATATTCCACACAAGGACCTTCATAGTATTCCACCTCATCCTCACCCTCACTATCATCTGATGAATCATTACCTTCATAATCAATAACTAGTACCTGATTCCTAGAATTCACTGCATATAATTGTTCTTTATGAAAATAAACCTTATTCTCACACAAACTATACAAATTCCAGTGTTCTTCCCTTCCTTCTTGAGGGATCATTAACATTGGGACCTGCTGGTTGATGGTTTCCATCCGCTTATGTTTGTGATCAAGTGTAACAGAAAGCCATGACTTGCAAACAACGCAAAATCGGATGAAATCAGGGAGTATTAACTCATTCAAAATCACACCAAGAACATCCCTTTGCAGCTCTGCCCAACTTTTACATTCTCCTCCTCCGGGATCTGTTGACAAACTACCCGCCATAATTAACTAAATTGTCTCAAACCACCACACAAAGTTCTCGCCTTTTATCCCTAGACTAGAAAACCCAAACCAAATTTTGGCAGAAGAAAAGAAAACAACAAAGGACCAAATAATATAGGCAAAGAATCCTCCAGTGCAGCGAAAATCTAGTAAAGGAAAACATATTGCAGGAAGAAATCCACAAACCAAATCTCAACAGGAAACGAAAAACAGTCCCAAATAAAGCTAAAATAATACGGAAAGAAACAGATTTTTACGCGATATATTTACACGCACCTGATTGGAGTTTTTCAGATTGGTAATCTTGGTTCAATTGGAATAGGATTATGTAGGTGGATTGAGCTTCGATTGAACTTCAAAATTCTGGGAAAAATAAGGTTTGACCGACTCGGACAGAGTTAGAGTCCGACACGACAGCACGCGTGTTTGAAGAGTAACTTCCAAAACTAAACTTCCAGTGGACCGGGCTTCGTGCACACCTTTCGTCGACGGTCTGCAGGCCTGACGTGTTTATTCTAGAGCCCAAATAGGTTTTTTTTTTTTTTTAACTAGAGCCCCAATAGTTAAATTGCCAAAAAGACAAAAAAAAAAGAAAAAAGTAAAAGAGGAAAGCAAAATATACTAGATAGGAGTTTATTTGGATGATTTATTTGAGATAATTACTGTAACACTTTTTGTGATGTGATGTATGTGAGATAAAAAGGTGATTGAGAAGGTAAAAAGGTGATTGAAATTTTGTGAAGTAAATTATTTTATTTCAAATCTTGTTAATCCAAACACATTGTCATAAAGTTGTTTGTTGAAGAATTAATCTTGATCATGACACTGTATGATTACAAGGGAGATTTTATTTGGAGGATAGGATTATTAAGAGAGATTGTTGGTTCAATTTTTCCTAACTTACATGCCACCTGCATCATGCTGGATATCTGCCACATTCAATTTTTTTGCCCTTTTGTATAGAGTGTGTGATATAGAGGTATAAAAGAACCCTCTGTTAGGTATTATGGTCAGAGTTGATATCATCTAAGCACTTTCTCAGTTAACTATTTCATGTGAATATGAATTTTGATCATGGATAATTCGTATTTTAAATTTCTTGTTTGCTTTTGTAGTTACATTTTAGATTTTTTTTAATAGTTAAAAAGTTAAAATTTATAATCCACCAAAGGAAGTTTTGATTATTGTCTATTTTAAAGCAAACAAGAACAAGACCTTTAAGCCTTTAATAAGTTCTATCCTTTTGCTTTTGTTATTCAATCATACAAATCGAGCATTTATTAGGGTTCTTTCTTGGAGTTTTGGACAAGTAAAACTCCATTGGAGGGATGATTTAGGAAGGGAAGAAGAGATGCCTTACAAAAAGGTTATCTTGCTTGCTTATTCACAACCATCAGATTACATTATCATATATAAAATTACCATTAGATATGCGAATTTTTGCTATCCTCATGAACATATGGTTATAACAAATTTTTGTTTTCACTTTTGTTTTCATCTGTTACTTTTTAGCATTTACTCAAAACTTCTTTCAAAATCTACCTTCTGTTCATATGCATTATCACTTGGAATTAGTAATTGTAACTTGTAGTTGCGTGGACACCTAAGCACTCTTTGGGCTTTTTCTTTCTCAGGGGGAGGGAGGGGAAAAGCAACAAAGCTTAAGTTCGTAAAATTTTGCAAGAGAAATGTTATTTGTACTCCCATTTTTGTTAATCGTACTCCCACTATCATTTCTATCATATGGTTTTCATTTATTAGACTATATGATAAAATAAATGGTCAGAGTGCAAATAATATTTCTCATTTTGCAATAGTAACAAAATATATATCAATTAATAATGTCAATTTTTCTTTAAAAAAAATAAAATATTACTTGAGCCAGATAGTGACGGTATGGATGGCAATGAGGCGGGGTTGGGCCGCTCCCTGCTTCCCTTGCCTCGGCCCGCCCCGCCCTGCGTCCCACATGGGTGCCCCTGTGGGGTTAATAACAATTTATCATATAATTTTATTATAGTTAAATTTTAGCAAATAATCAAGTACTAAAATATCAATACATCATCAAATTATTAACTATTGTGATTTCACAATTGAAATCCATAAAAATAATCAAACAAAAGTTATTTGAATACAATTCAACGTGTTGAAACAAATAGAACTAAAATGGTCAAATGTTCACTTTTAACACAAATACAATTACTAAGTCATTATTGTGTTTTTTTTTTAGAAATAAAAAGTGTTGTTGTGTTAAGTATAATTATAAATTTAGTATAACTAATTAATAATTGCTATTATTAGACATGTATAATTATTAGTATAATTAATAATATCAATTATATTACTTATACTAATATCCATTATATAATACATATAACTAATAATATCATTATTATAAGTTTGTAACTAATTAAATTAAATAATATATACATATAATTATATCACATATATATTAATTTTTTAGCAAGTGGCGGGCTCCTGCCCTATTTCTAAACAGGGGGAAAAAATTCCCCCAGGCTTCGCCCCACCACCTGCCCCAACCCCTGCCCCATTAGCTCCCCCTGGGGCAGGTGCCCCTCAATTGCATCCCTAAGTGACGGACGCAGGATTTTGACTTGGGGGCAAATAGACAATTAAAAAAATATTACAAATAAAATACACAAACTTGAAATGAAAGTTCAATAGTCTATAGCTAACAAATAAATATTTGTAATAACAAAATATGCCATAAAAAGTAAAACATGAAATTAGACTCTCCACTACTTTATTTTCCATCATTACGAGGCATATGAAACTAAATGACTCAATCGGAGGAGTTTCTTTAGGATAAGTCACATCTTCTTTATTGGGGATCGTTTTCGCTCGAAAAAAGAATCAATTATTTTTAGAGGCATTTTTATTTTGTTATCTTATAACATGAAATATTTATAATATAAGCTTGACTATAAAAGATAAAATTAACTCATCGGCCAAAATCATACAAAAATTAACTAATTCTATAAATCACATTAAGGCTATGCAAAATGAGACTAAAGTTCTAAGATACAAATTAAAATAAGAATAATTGACAAACTAATAATCATCAAAAATTTTTAAATGACAAACTTAAAATAAGTATAAGTTCCAAAGAATTAACGATTATGAATTAAAATATAGTTGGAGGAATTGCAAAGGGGAAAAATTTAGACTTACTTTAGGAAGAGTAGATGCTTGAAATGAGTTGAACGAAATTGGGATAGATCAAAGATTGATGTGTGGTTGATCAAGAAATTTGTTGGCTTTGGAGTTGGCTTCTAACTTATACATAATGGTACATCGATCGTTCTTTTTTTTTTTTTTTTGTTAATTTCAAGTAGAATTTGCTTTTGCCCTTTTTTTTTTTTTTGAGAAATAAAAGAGAATCAAATATTTACCTAAGGTTCTTAAAAAGGTTAAATGGGTCTAGCCCAGCTGACCCCTAAAATGTCTGCTTTGCAATTGATCACAAAAGATCACACATGTATTCGATTGAACGCCAAGATTTATTAGGAAATCCTCACGTCGGTTTCCTTTTATGTAGAAATATTGAAAAGTGACATGGATACTTCGAGAGCCACCTGCTATGTCACATACGCGAAGAGGCATTTCACACTTATTGTTCAAATAATCCACTACTATTTTAGAGTCAACTCCGAAATAAATTTGTGAATGCCTTTCTCTTTTGCAAGTTGAAGACCGACAACTCTCATGCTCCAAAGTCCCGCAACCAAACTTGTAGAAGCTCGCTCGATTTGGTTTTGCTTGCATGATGATGGTTAGACGTGAACTGGTTTTTGCTTATATGATAGTTAGACTTGCAATGTTTGGCAGCCTAAAAAAGAAAAAGGTTATTACCTTCTGTTGTTTGAGAAGAATTTTGGTAAATACGGATTCAAATGGCAGCTCTTTAAATATTCTTTTTGAAAATAATAGCATAGTGCTCTTTTTAATGTAATATACATAAGATAAAACAAATATTTGAAATAAAATCATGGTTTCTCCAACCTAGAGATGTGAACTAGTTGCTTTTCTCTTTTTTTGCTTTCTTTTTTGTTTTGTTTTTTTTTAACTTTTACCCTTTTTTGGAGCTGTGGTCATGCAGGAAATCAACTTGTGCAGACACTCCAATGTGAGATCAAATCACCTAATACCTGACCCATACCCATTAGTATTTTGACCATACTACACAACTCGTTTGAATGGGTTTCCTTTAATATTTTTCAAATTCCAAATTTCACAGGTGATTTGCACAAAAAATTGAAACTAGACCTAGCTATGTTCTAGCTAATAAATCAAACAAATACAAGTAAAAAGAACCTTTGTTCGATTTCGAAGAGGTGAAGTGTTACTTTCTGAACTGAAGATTATTCCTAAAATAAAAATCACTCTAGAAGGACCCGCCTCCTGCCCCGTGCCCCGCCCGGGAAAAAAAAAACACAAACATAGCGCGCGCATACCGCCCTAGGTGTCATAGCGGGAAAATCAGTGAGGTCGTTGAGAATGCAGCATATTGGCTCTTTAATATTCTCACGTATCCCTTCCCATGCCATACATGCATACAAGTCTCTCCGCTCCATTTCTGCTTCCTTTCTCCCTTATTTGATTCCCATCTCAGATTCTTTCTTCTTGGTCCTATCAAAACTCTCCCAGTTGCATGTCAATCGAGAGGGGCAAAGGTGGTTATACTCTCTGATAATAATCACTACAGCTTCATGTGCTGATTATGATTTTGCAGTTTATTGTCCAGGTTGGTAATTTTTTCAATTCTGATTGGGTTTAAATTTTCTTGATGCTTCCTCTAATTATCGAATGTAGTGTTCGTTGTTGTATGGTTTCTTGAATTTAGTTTGACTCTTATCTTACTTTGCAGCCTTTTTGCTTGAATTTTCTTAGTTTTTGGGTAATTCCATCTTTGCGTAACGAAGAAATCAGAAAACAAGAAAGACAAAAATGAATGGGAAAATCAAAATGAATGAATGGGTTCCAGATTTTGTTGATTCTCGTCTGATGTTATTTACTGTTAGAAAATTGGCTTAATTTCTTTTAGGCAGTTTTTTGTTTTGTGTGAAAGTAATTAATTTTCTAATTGATTTTAGTTACTTGAAGTAGTAGCCAAAGAATATTCTATTTAGTTTAGGATTAGAAGTTATTTCCTACAAGTGTAAGAATTAGAATTGATTTTCTATTATTATTTGGTATTTTTGGCCAAATAATATTTTCTATAAATAGGTAGGTTGACATACTATATGAGAGACACACAAGGGCATACAAGAGGTGACATGTAGCCTTATACATGGGGTGGTGAGAGAGAGTTCTTGGGAGATGAGAAATGGTATACAAGGGTTGGGTTTGGGTTTAAATTGTATTCTTGTATAGGATTTTCTTCTCATAATAAAGAACGAATTTTCTCTTCGTGGACGTAGGCTCTCAATGGTGGAGTCGAACCACGTTAAA